TTCGGTAAGGGTTTTACAGAGCTTGCAACTGCATAAGGTCAGGATGGTGCAGGACACCTTGAACATTTTCAGTTGGTAGGAAATTTTGAATTTTGCACAAATGGCGATTTTGGATCACCAAGAGATCTTTAACGTGTGCAACTTGCACGTGATGCCTCCGAGATTTTTCGTCCTTATCTGAGAAGGTAAGGTGATAGATCTTACCCACCATAAGATCAAGGGTATGGCTGAAAGACAGCAGTAAGAAGAAGCCAAGGAGTAGCAGTAGAAAGGCTGCCGAAAGAGTCAGGAGCCCAGAGGAGGGAGCAGTGTAGAAAGGCTGCCAAAAGAGTCAGGAGCCCAGAGGAGGGGGCAAAGGAGGTCAGTGGGTGGGGGCAGAAAGTGGAGACAAAAGCAGGTAACAGAACATTGTTAGCGAGCCTGAAAGGAGGTGAAAGGAGAACATTTCAAAGTAGAAAATTTTCCATCGTTATCCGGATTCGAACACAGGACTTAATGAATGAGGGGTGAATGAGGGGTGAACACTGTAACTTCTCAACCACAAGAGCCGTCCTTCCGTTATTTTGTCGATTTATTTCTCTTTACTAAAGCTCAAAAACCTGTTTCCCCCTCTCTCTTTCTACCCATATGGTTGGTTCACGCACCAGTGAGTGTTCTATATCAGTGCAATCTATTCCATTCTATTTTTACCAAGGTTGTGACAGGGGTACACAATTTTCTAAATTAGAGTTCATCTGGGACACCATTCTGAAATAGGTCATTCTTGTATCTCTATGAAGTAATTGATCCTATTACATATTGCATGGGTGAAGAAACTAACTGTAGAATTCATGATGTGGGTGGTTAGCAGGTGCTCTGGTGTGGTTTGCTCCTTCTGTCCTATCAAACAAAACTATCATCTTTTTTATAATATATGGTGTTACTCTCTTGTAACACCTCTAATCTTTGGCTCTTATATGACCTAGTTGTGTTGCAAGCGCCGCAAAATGCTTACTAAAACAAAATTAATGACGCTACAAATATATTGCTGATTATTTCGTCATCTTCATCATCATCTTCATTGTTTAAAAGCAGGGTAGGTAGTGAGAGTCGTGCTTGATTTATAGACAAAAAATGCACCTCATTATCATCATCATCATCATCATCATCATTAATTTTAGACAAAATAAAATAACAATATAAAATGTTTAAATTTGTTTAATAGCTCAAGGTTTTGCCCCGTGGGCTTCCTCAGGAGCGACTGAGAGAAAAACTAAATGAGCGCTGTGTATTAGCAGAGAAATGGGCCTAACGAAGGGGTCTTAGGGTTACGTGTGGTTACAGGTTAGACGGAAGTGACTAAGTGGGTGCCAGGCCAAGGGGCTAATTATAAAGAAATTGATGCTAGTCATCAAGGATATCATTGTATCTCTACGAGAGGCTGACAGGAAGTTAATTGTGTGAACGTGTGATGAGAGAGGAAAGTGTATAGAGGCATCCCAG